TTGACAACATTTTGAAATAAACATTCAAACTGAGAAACAATGATTACTGAAATTTTCAGAGTAGTTACAAAAAACCTGGTACAGTGACTCTAGAAGATCATGATAAGCTAGTTAAACATGAAAGCTTTGCTTCTAAACACCACAAAATTTGCCTTCCAACTAGCAGTGACAATGGCAAAGCTTAAGTAAAGCCTTGAGCCTTTTCAGCTGAGGAGCTACCAAAGCCCCCACAGCAGTCCCCAAAACTCAAAAACTGTCATGAAGTTTAAATGTTACAGCTACAGGTCTGAGGTGCTGTTTTTGATAAAATGAAATTTTATCAAAAAATGAGATATTAGTGCCAGCTCAGCTGGCCAGAGCATGGTGCCAAGGTAGTAGGTTCAATCTCTGTATGGGCCATTCACTTCAGAGCTGGGCTCCATCCTTCACCTCAGTTTATCCTGTGATTCTGTGATTATAATAATATGCCAGAAAAACTACAGCACCCATTGTACCTTTTGCTCTTCAGGAGAATACTAAAGGTTAGTATGTCTCTACCAATGGCAAATTTTGCTGGTTTTATGGCATCTTTTATAAAAATGGCTCTCTAATATAATAAAATGGAAATATCCTTACGCGTTCTTTATGCCAGCATGCTAAAACCAAGTTATATAGTGAAATCCTACTACAGTATTCACTTGAAGCAAAACTGCTTTTCCAGCAAAGCTAGTTTAGCACAGACACTCTTGAACAACATAATAAAGTAACTAAATATTCCTAAGTTATAAAATACAAGAATATAACAGGTGATGTTTTACTGTGGTTAATACTAGAACTTAAAATAGCAATTATGTATAATATTGTATACTAATATATACTACTAGCTGATCCCGGATGAGGAGAAACTGTAGGAGAGAATATGAACAGATTTTGTACCAGGACTTCTAGACCTCCTCCTCACTCAATATCCATGTTATATTGCCAACAAAAATCTGATTATTACAAACAGATGTAATTTATGGGGTTTTTTTACACTATTTTCTCTACTCCATGGAAAAAAAATAAATCTTAGAAAACACTTAACTCTTTGTCCAAACATACATGAGTGTTCAAATTAGAATCTAGGATGATTCCAGCTTTATTGTCAGTTACTACTCATCCACAGGCCATGGTTTCCCTAAGTTTAGCCCCTATGTGTACACTTCAAAGCATGGAATTTGCAAGCAGACATTAAATACGTAAGATACAGGTTATCAGTGATTTCAACATCAAAGACAGATGATATCTTAGAAGATAAAAGCCTTGATTAAATGTTACATCAAAAAAATATCATCAGCAGTGCCTTACAAATTGTTTCATTTAACACAGGTACTATTTATAGCCAGGAAGCACACCCTATTATTCTGCACAAAACCACAACTTGAATGTTTTATGAATTATTTTATGAAATTAATAAGTAACTTACATGCTGATCCTGTAGAATAAATTTTAAGTAAAGGGAATGTGTATTAATTACAAAAAATATAAATTAAGGCTTTGAATATAGGCTTTACAAACTATATCAGAATTCACCTGAGAAGCAATAATATAAATAATAAAAAGCCATACACAATGGTAGGCCATTGGTTCAAAGTAGTCTGACAGACAACACTACATTGTAACAGCTTTCAGAAACTACTAAAATCTTACAACACAATGCTTAGATGTTGTCCATTATTTTTAAAATTCTGGAAGAGCGTTCAGATAATAGTGACAGGATTTCTAGAACTTCTTCCTTCGGTCCAGGGGAGACACAGAGGACACAGTATGTCCATGTACAACAATACAAATGCCATAAGCTTACCTGCAGACTGAGCACTGTAAAGGGAAGGATCAACTAGAGGAATATTCTGAGCAGCAGGCTGAATGGTGTTACTTGTCACTCCTTCAAATCAATGCAAAAAAATGGACTTGGATTATTTCAAATCAATGCAAAAAAATGGACTTGGATTATTCTTTTACTTATTGGCTTTAAAAGTATGCAAAAACTCTGAACAGATACACCTTATGATTTTCAAATTAAGCAGCTGATAGTGTACTATTTCTGAAACTGTTTAACAAGCAATTTTAATGCTTTCACTTCAAATATGAACATTTTAGAAAATAAAACAAAAAAATGTACACACTATCATACATTTTACCAGTACAGGATTTCACAGAAATTGCAGGCATTAAAAAAATAAGAAAATACTACTGCAAGAGACTCTGGTTACCCTGAAGCATTAAGGAAAAACCTGCTAAAGAAAAGTGTGCGTAAACTTTTATATTTGAAGCTTAAATTCTACATTCTAATACCAGAGGCATATTATTGTACTTTTCAGGTACACTCATTTGCTTTGATCCAAAACTGTATTTTTGCAGTATGTCCTGAACATAGCATGAAGTTTTTTCTATAACATCTGCTGTCTAGGAAGAGGGTATAATCACTTTTCTAAGTTACATCACCCCATTAAAAGATTAGTGGGGTTAAAACTATGTAATGCACAGAATTCATGTATTCCAACAAGGTATGTACTCTAATTTTCAGATCTGGTAAAAAAAAAAAACAACATATGCTCCCTCCCAGACCCAAAAAAACCCCACCTATCTGAAGGATTTCCCTTTGATAAGGTTGAAAAAAAGAGCATCCTGAACTCTTCATAGGGTGAAGCATTTTTTAAATGAGAAAGTAAAAGAAAAGGAAGGATTGTGTGACAAAAATATCTCGTATGTTCGATAATATAAAAATGTATGTGAGCAATAAATGATTACCAGGATTGAAATAAAGACATTTTAATTTTTTAGTCTTATTTATCATTAATTAATAATTCTACTCTATGATTGTTATAAAAAGGTCCCATAAGGTACAAAAGTTGCATTCACCAATCACTTAATACTTTTATTTATTTATTTATTTATTTATAAAATAAATACAGCATCTGGGAATGAACTTGGAATTTTTAAGAACTTGATTTTGGTCCAAAAATTACATGTAATAATAAGGATGTAGGAGCCAATATGTTTAGCCACAGGGACAAAGTTTTCATTAATAATATTGTCTGAAGTCAACGACACTAAAGCACTTGCATGGAAAAGGGGCACAAGCCAAACCAAACCAGTATGAATGGTACATCAGGCATGACTGCTACAAGGCCATAACAATTTCAACAATGTGCTGGATAATGTTCTTCCACATGAAGAACAGCAGCCTATCTGCACAGGCAAAGCTACATATGAACTGAAGTAATATAATTCCATTCATAAACTGAAAGATTCAAATTGTGCTTTACAGTACAGATGTTGCAATGCAACACCATTTTACTGATTTAAGAGAAGACATAAATTCTATCTGCAGGAAAAGTCACTTTCTTAGTCCATACATGTCCTCTCTAAAAGTGCTCCCAACTATCATTTACATATTTTTTAAAAATAGTAAAAAATATTTCCAGTGGCATTTTTACAATTTTAGCTTATGAAGATGCTTTTACCACACAATGCTGTGTTATTCTACTTCATACGTGATGGACTAGAATTTGGGCAAAAATTCTTCCCCCAGTAAAGGCATGATTTCTCAGATATGATTTGGACATACCTGTGTTATGAGGTACTTCAGCTGGAGTGTTGGCTGGTGCATGGGCACCTGGTGGTATATGTATACCAGTGTAATTACTAGTCGGTATGTTGTTAGCTTCATATGTAGATGATGATGATGGAGTTGTTCCACTATGGGCAGAAGATGACCCCGCTTCTTCCCTTTCAGCATCTGCTAAAATGACACAAAATAGGAATTACTGCAACTATTATGTATAAACACTTGAATACTTTGGCTTTTCTTAAAACCTCCTTTCAAATTTTTATTGCCAAAAAAATTGCGACCACAGAGTGTGACGTGAAAAAGATCAACCCAAACCACATAGGGTTGATTTAAAAAGGTAAAATGCAATATACCATACAATAAAGATCTAGAAACTCACATATTTCAAAAGATCTCTTCTGTTCAACTTGAAGAATCATTTCCTGACTTGTCTGAATATAAGCTGTCTCATTAGAACAATTTGTTATACCTTCATATTCTGCATCCATAGAAGTTGAACAAGTTACTACAAATAGGCATTACAAATCCACATTTTAACGTATACATGAACTAGAATATGGAAAATTGTATTTGCCTTACAAACTCTTCATAAAAGGCTAGACAGTGCCAATTCTTTTATCCCAAATCAAACCACAGATAAACAGGAACCAAGAGGAGCTTTGAGAAAGTAATATCAAACAAGAAATTAATGCAGCTTAGCCAAGTCATATTTCCATCGAGAACAGCTAGAATACATAATGAGCTATAAGAACAATGAGGTTCAATATATCCCACAACATGTACAAAGAACATATACATTTTTTAATCTAGTCATATTCTTAAGTTTCTGGTTTACTTTATTTAATATTACTCTAAAGGCTAAGGATCCAGTCAATTCAGAATGTATGGTTGATTCCTGCTCTTTCATTTGAATTCAGATCAGTTTAAAACAACTAATTTTCATTTACTGTGTATGTGTTCACCTGTATCCATGGTGTCAGGCAGAACAAGCACAGTTTTGGGAATTACTTATTTAACAGCCAGTGCTTGAAAGCAAACAATAAAATATGGGAGGACAAAACTTGTATGTGTGTAGAGCTGGCAAAAGAGATATTTTTTAAGAAATCCACATTCACCTTCAACATCATAAGACTATGTGTTCTGCAAACACTTCCACTGCTTCCATAATTAAATGGTCTAGTATTAAAAATATGACTATTATAAATATCAGAATTGTTTCCCTCTTCCTCCCAGAAAAAAATTCACATTCTACCTTTATGAAAAATGCCTGAATTTCTAATTTGCAATACAATTTACTAAAAAAAAAGGGCTATAAAGCAGAGTAATATCAAGTATAGTTATTAGGGCATTTTTAGTGGACTGTAATAAATACGCTCCGGTTTCGTGGCACAATTTCTGACACATGTAGATGAAAACCTGACAGGTTTCTGGAAGACAAAGAATATTTTAAGGTGCCAGATTTTTCTTTTGCTGTATTCTTTGTTAGTAACTCATACTGCAATATTGCATGGCTAAAATGGATGGAAATAAAATCAATGTCTGAAAACTGGCAAAAAGAAGGTGAGATTCAAGAATAAATGTGGCATAACTTTTAAGTAACATGGTAATGATAGGAAACCATTGTTTGAATGCTGTCTATTCCACTGGTTTTGTTGTTAACTAAAAAAAAAATAATTATAAAAGTTTCAGAAAATAAAATGAACAAAAATAGAGGCTTACTATACATAAAATGAATAAAATAGTTACACACAACACTCATCATGCAGTCTGAAGGTGAGGCTACTGAATATTACTTGGAGCACTGTTACCAATAATTTACAGCTTGGTCAAATTGTAGCCATAAAGTTGGATTATCCAAACTGGAGTCTGCTTGAAATTAGGATTTTGAGAAAGCTGTTGCAAAAATTACTAAGCAACTTTTGAGAATGAGACAGTGAGAGAAAACATGCTTCCACTGCACTTAGTATCTCAGTTATGAGAAATTACCTGTATATTCATGCCCATATTAAATCTGTTAATGCATTTATTCCTTTATTCTGCCCCTTGCACCTTCCTGTTGCCCTAATCTGGATCTCAAGGCACATTCTGATTTCCTTCTCTGCACTAGGATTACAACCTCACATACTTGTGTCCCTCTGGCACTGCTCCCATTTTCTCCCCAAGCCATTCCCAGTTTCAGCTTCCAACTTCCTCACTGCATAGCTCAGGGTCTCTACTCAATCCTGCAACAATGCAATGCTGTGGGCAACACTGGCCACAGAAGACATGAACTCAAAGGGTTAAAGTCTGGCAATGATAAAAACAACCAAAAAAAGTGTTAGAAGTGCTCACCACCCATAGTAACAGTGCCCGCAAGAGGCAAATTCACAAATAGGCAATCTGCTTTTTAATCAGGTGTATTTATCAAAAGACTAAGCTCTTTTCTGAGCTTGCTTTGATTTGCTCATTGTGCAATTGGCCAATGTTAAAATTGTATTAAACATAAAAGTAATTTTGTTTAAGTTAACTCTTAGGTTTTTAAAGTGCCCAAATATAAAAGCATTGTAACTATTCTTCCTGCAAAGCAAATATTTAAAATATTCTTTATCCAAGACTAAAGTATTAGAAAAATTCTAAGATACCCACTCTCAATATTTGTGAATAGTTTTAAACAGTAGTGCCAGATAAAAGGATTTCAGGCTGCTATAAAAGAACATTTAAGTCAACAGAGGTTTTAAATTCTATGGTTAGAATGTCCGTAAGTGAAAAAAAAAAAAAAATCTTTCCCAGGGAATAGGAAAGAATTCTAGAAAATTATTTTCTCATTCTGCAGCAATAACCTAGAATTCAAAGTTCCTTACAATTTGCTAAAAGATGCTGAAGCTAGGCTGTGAAACAATGACACAATTGTTTTACACTTAATTTCAGCTCCAGCTGAAATTGCTTTACATTTCATTTCAGCTCTTGTCTTGGAACCACATCAGCTTTTGTGCTTGAATCCCAGTATAATGAATTCACAAGATCTTTAAATTTTCTGCAGAGCTACAGTATACCCAGACAACCTGTTTGTGTTTTTTAAAAATTATTTATTTACTGAAGGCAAGCCTTTGTGAAATAAACACCCCAGCCCCATAGCCACCCATCCAAAGACACTTTTATATAAACAGAGGATTCTCAAGGCTTAATGGTATTCCCTTTCCTAATGCAAGCAAGCATCGATCATGACTTAATTTCAGCAGCTCAGTCCACCAAATATGAAATTAGCAATTTTTTTTAAGGAGTTCAGACTCCTCCAGTTCTCTAGAATCCTATTTTTAATGAGTTCAGAGAATTATAATCTATCAATTTAATTTTTTGTCTTTGTCTCATTCTGCTGTGCTGTTTCTCTTTTGCTTGAGATGTTGCTAAAAGATCCACAATGTAAGGTTCTATTTGAACACTACTTTTAAAAAACAAATGATCATGTATTTTTTTCCACTCCATTGAGAAATGAATTCAAAAATCCATCAACCTTTCCCACACTATTCTTTTTACTAGTTGGAACTATTAAGGTTTTCTGAAATTCTGTAACAGAAATGTAGCCTACATATTATATATTGCAATGAACATGATTACATTTAATGTATTTACTATGGCTATAGAATGGCTATTTAGGAACTTCTTTCTTATTTTCATTTTTTTGCCAATAGCGTAAAATCTTCTTGGATGACCTAGGGCTAATGCTAAGTAACCTTTATGTGTACTCTAGGACTTGTATTCCAACTGCATTAATAAACTAAGCATGTAATTTTAAGGTTTCCATGGTGGCATCCTGACAAAAGCATCCATAAATCCAACAGCAGAACTGCATAAAGCATGCCTATGTTACTGTAAAAACATTTCCAAGAGTTACAGTATGGTTTTCAAGAATCACAAAAAAAATAGCACCTTGGAAAAAAATGGTAATTTGTCAAGCTACAGAGACCTAGTTTCACTCTGTTTAAACAGACTTTTTCCACATGCTAGGGAAGGAAGAAAATGAGCAAGCAGAAAGGAATGGGGAAGGTCCAGTCGTACATTCAAACAATACTGCTTTTCTTCTTATGATGCACAAAGAGGAACTGAAACTCTTTTGTACTGATTCTTCTCATAAAAATTAATTTGAATAAATTTTTTGTCTTGATTATGTGAAACATTATGGACACCTACATTATGGAGCTAACTGTAAAAAATACCGTCAGCATAAAAAAACATCAACATGTATTTTTCATTTTAATTTCTCAGAAAATTGGGAGTGCGAGAAATAATCTCTCTACATGAAATACAATTCAACAACAAAATAAACAAACAAGAAACACTGCCAAGCCATAGCTCTTGCAGGCTCCCTATTAAAAGGGATATTAAAATTTTGATTCACTCAGCATTGTGTCCCTTTTAAGCTGTATGTAGACATAACCTGGTAATGAAAGCAAAAGTCTTCACCAATTCCCATTACCACCTGTAATGAACTGCAACGAATACCAAGGATTTGAGGAAAGCCTCAATTCTGCTTTCCTTCCTACAACAGTTTCTTTTGTAGTCTTGAGCAAGTTAGTTATCTCTGTGCATTAATAAACTGAAAAAAGAGCCTATTTGTTGCTTTTGAGAAATAATTAGCTTCTCAAAGTTGCACACATGGGTTTTTAGCAAGAGCTTTGTAATGTTTATTTAGAAGTTCTATTTTTGCAGTTGTTTAAAATTCATAGTTTGCTTCACATACTCAGGTCAGCTTTACCACACTATGGGCCAGACCACTAAAAGAGCACTCATTTAAAGCTGAAAATATTTAACTGAGCTATTCATTGCATTCAATGTAACAGGAGATTTTTCTCTCATGTTACGTTCTCTATTAAATCCCTATTCTGGTGTAATTTGACAAAGATGAGGTGATGTTTGCAGTTGGAGTTGCATCATAAAAATCTCTTGCTACAGTTACATGGACAGTTAAGAAAACTGCCTTGGAAAAGACTATGTTGAAGAAGAAATTAGTTTGCTAATGCTTTGCTTCAAATACAGCTGTGCCTAGACTGGAGCACATCTCAGCAGTTAAGATACCCATTCCAGTGCTGAAGTCTGTAGAGTCCCTTTAGGATAGGAAGACATAATAACAAGAATAAATATGTAGCTTGGAAACAGAACTATCATACTCTGTGTTTGTTCACAAATATTTGAATTTACTTATGTTGCAGTGTTTCTGTACTAATATAGAGTACTAATATATAAACAGTGTTTTATTCAGGAAACTGCAAATAAATTATATTTGGCACCATAGCTCTTAGACACTATAAAGATAATAGAAATAGAGGTTCGGTACACATACTTAAAAAAAAATCATGATTGTATCCCTTTTTTTTTTAATATAACACTGTCTAGGACTTATTAATTACAATGTGGAGATGCATCAAAATGTGAGACTGCATGATGAAAAGATTGAGAGCCAGAAGAGAAACTAGTTTTCTAATGTTTTGACATGCTTAAAACCAAAGTAATGAGTAGAAAATTACAAACCCGTTTGTGACTTATTAGAAGTAAATTACAAGCTCAGACTTCAAAGTCCACTCAGGTATAGACCCCAAACACAAATGAATGCAAACAGATAATTACCTTTATGTGTGTATACATTTGTATTTCATATGCGTGCTCTATAAATACACTGGTCATCTATATTAATACATATGTTCACAAAACTTTATGTGGCCCTAGAAGGTGGCTCTGCAGGTTAAATACAATACTCAACAAGTTGATCTTTTCCTTTTGTACTGTAGATTTGCTTATTGACCCTTTTTATTTGGAGAAATTTGTATTACTAAATCCAAGCTTGAGATAACTAACCCTAGCAAGCCATGAAGTCTCACATGAAAGCTCACAAGAAAGTTACAAATTATTTGATGGTCTCAGTCATTCCATTAGGTATGTGAAGAATGATACACAGAGCTTGCCACTGTGCAGAATTAGTCTGTTTTAATCAGCATAGTGAAAATATGTATTCCAATGACATCCTATTTCACAAGAGATCAACCTCTAAAATTTGAATTCAATCTGCATTGAGGAGAAAAGCAAAGAAACTGCTCACTATCAAGACCAATGAAACTGATCACTATCTAAAGCAGAACAACTTGTTCTGATACACATTCAGTTTGGTTAAGTGCGTGTCCTTGGAAATCACCTCCTTAACTGTTACATAAAGTGGGAACCTCAAGGAGTCCTGTACAAAGAGCTCAGGTAGCCAGAGGGAGCAACTGAAAACATAAGGAAAAGGAGGATGAGTGAGAAAGAGGCAGAAAATCCAATTCAGTAGGAGCAGGCCATCAACCTGTTTTGAAACTGATGTTATTACACAGGAAAAAGGGGTTGTCTCACAAGCAGGTCTTCGCTTTGAAGCTGAATTCACTTGCAATCAGTCCATTTTTAACTCCTGCTTAACTTAAGAGTGGATAAACTGGCAAAGGGATCATAAATTCACAAAATAGATTTAAAATAAGGATATGGTTAGTGTTAAAGAAATGTATGGTTCTGGCCCAAAGCTGAAAATGCCTTCTTAGAGAGTAGCTGTATTCAAAATAATAATCTCCACTACAAAGAAAAGAGTATTTTATTAAATAAGTCAATCACACAGTAAGGTCCAATAAAAATAACAGCAGGAGAAGCTAAAATGAAGTAGAAGGCAGCCCACTGTGAATGGAACATCAAGTGGGGAAGCTGTGCTTCCTGAGGGGTGCTCCCTGAAGAACGGTGCATACCACCAATTCACCTTGGCACATCCTTCTGCTCTCTTAAAAAGAAAAGGGAAAACACATACCAAAACTCTCTCCTTCCATTCCAATGGGGCCAGGCTGAGGAGTCTCTCCATTCTTTAAGCAGTTATGAATGTATGCTGCCTTCCACCTGGCGTACTTCCTGTGCTGGGCGTTCTAGGGGAGGGAAAAGGCCAGCCATTTTAACCACTCACTTCTGCAAATTAATGCATTCAAAACAGAAATATAAACATCTCTTCCACCTTCTCTGCTGTCATTTGACACCCTTTTAAAGATAAACAACACGTATAAAATTAATAGGTGAATTAAAAAAAAAAATTAAAATAACAGCTCTAACAAGATCTCAGCATGAAAGGATAATGTGGAGCTCTTCAATTAGCACAGTGTATCAGGAAAAGGAAATAAATTACACCAAGAACATCTAGTATGAAATGCACAGCACTGTCTAGTAATTATTGATATGAAATAAAGAAGAAAGCTTCCTATCACCATAAATTTAGATGATTATTTACTTTAGATTTAAATATTTGAAACTTAAAATGCTGCTATGCTGCTGATCAGAAATATGAAATCTTTTCTCATTATATTATAATTTTAAATTGTATTTAAAAGCATGGATACGGAAAGGCTGATGTAACTGCAGATTAATGTGACTTGTTTGTAATATTCTATGGCATCGAGATTTTCCATTTTGTTTTTCAAAATATACTTTACTGTTCCTAGGTACAACTTTAAACATGTCAAAACATGAAAGGAAGATTGGCCACTTTGTATCTCCTGGGACTATTACAATAGTGTTTAATCCAGAAAGAACTGTCAATTGATGCAAGAAATATTAAACTGATTATGCAAATCAACTACTTGTCAAAAGTTGTATGGAAAACAACCAGTTCTGACAGTTATGAGGTAATATAAATCAAGGAACAAGGCTGAATATAAACAGATGAGAAATGTGGAAGGATGAGTGGAATAATTTGCCCAAATGAACAGTGCAAGTTGGGATAGCATGCTTCACACCAACATTTTAAAATTAATTAAAAAAATTATTTGGAAATTAAATCCAAAGTTTCTAAGAAATTAATAAACTGAAATTCAATACTGTACTTCACAAAGCCTATTGCACTGTCACCAAGAACAGCGTAGAGAAACACAATACAAAAGGTATCTCCAGCAAGATCCCTTGCTCATATTTAATACATTGTATCACCCAGGATGCTCAGGCAATCCAGGAGGAAGATCTAGTCTTCATTTTCGAAAACAAGATATTCTCCAGAAAAAAGCCTATTCTGATGACATATTTATTAAACCACATTCACTCTACCTGAAAAAGGAAATGTGCAATTGGAAAATATGGCTTTCTGTTAAACTTTGTTCTAATAATCATTTCTGGTCAGTCAGTGTTACAGATTAAATTCTTTCATTTTTAACAAACACTCTAGAAGCCACAAAATACAGAAAACACATACCCAGAGTATGCAACTTTTAGGAAAGATTATTATGCAATATTTAAAAGCCTTTACATCTCCCCTCCATTCTAACATGGCGAGTATTTACTGGAAAAGTGTGAAGGTGCTGTTGTAGCAGGTATTGCCAGGTGCTGGCAACTCAGCATGGCAGGAGTGGTGAGGAGAGGCCAGGGCTGCCCCACGCTGGATAAAACCAGCTCCAGTGCTCCCACCTTGGGACACAGTTGAGGCCCTCGGGCATCTGGTGGTGCCCTAGGGAGAGCTTATTTGAGGGAGTGCCAAGCACCCTCAAGCCCCACACCCAAGATGCTGGAGGGAGAGAGGAGAAGGCAACAAAGAGTTTGATGTCTGTCCTGCATCCTGACTGCAAAGCTTATCATTCCAGAACTCAGAAGTGAAATGCTGTTTGTTTTGGTTTGTTTGCAGTGCTGTCCCTTTTCAGAAGGCTGCCCTGTTGAATGAATGTTACTACATTGAAGTAAATGAAAAGAATGCTGCTGTCACAGAGCTTCCTACTGCTTTGATCTAAGCTGTGTCTTGTAAAACACATCTTCCAGAAAATCCTTCTGCCTAGTTCTAACATGGAGATATAGAACAACCACTCTTCATCTGTGACACAATCCATTCATACCAACCAATAATCAATCACTCACCATTTAAAAACATAAATATGCTAAACACCCATTTTCTGATTCTCAGTGTGAAATACCTGCATTCTATGCCTGTTGATTTAAAAGCCTTTCAATAGCTGATAGTCCATATATATGAATTTCAATTATCTATTGAGAAAATAGGCAGATGTCATGCTCTGAGTGTATTTCTGAGTCTGAGTGGCTGACATAAACTTCTGCAAAAGTCTAAGACAGTCAAGTCATACTTCTCCCATCATCCCTTTACATGAGAATGAATAAGGAAACTGTTGAAATATAATGATGCTATACAGAAGAGTAAATATTTTCTGTATTTCTTGTGCACCCTCTTTTACTGTCGGTGTTCACCAATCAAACAAAATGAGAGAATTCTGCTTTTTTCCAATTACAAAGCATTTCCTTGCAGCATCAACAATAAAAACCCCCAGTGCAAAGTAGAAAATGTACCCCTGCTAGCATTCTGCACTGACATTTGTAACAACTTCTTCCATCTTCAAGCAGAGCAGACAGTTTTAGGAGGACACATCAAAGAGCAAACTTACTTGTGCCTCTCTATAAGATGGAAATTTTGGATTGGTAGTCTCAGGCTACAGAAGATGGAGAATCTTGAAAGAACTCTTCACCAAGCATTTCTCTTGGGTAAGACCTATCTTTAGTATCTACACTTACATCCTATAGTATTCAAGAAGTGCACCACTATCAAAACCATGCTTTTACCTTCTTTCTAATGTTTACAAATGAAAGTAGCCACAACAACTACATTTGAAACTGATCAAGTACTGACTGCACTTTAGGCACACTTAACAGATTAGGGGATTTACAAACAGGTTGTCAAGCCTGTGAATTTCAAGCAGGACATGGAAAAAAGTGAAGGTGTCTCAAGCTAGGAACCTTGCATAATTTTTCCCCTATAAGCATTCCCACTTGCTCAATATAACGCTATGTATCCCACAGTACAAATCAAAATTTGAATTTCTAAATGATACTTGTCATGAAGCACCTTCTAACAGATGTCTAGTATTTCATCTACAATTTATCTGAAATACTTAGCATGATTCTTTATGGTTTACTAACAAGTATTTGGCTACACTACTAGAACCTATGTTCTTTGAAATTCATATTCATAAATTATAATAGCAACGTCTGTGCTTGGAAAAGCAATCAGAAAATACACTCATATGCCTAACACTTACCTCTTCAGAGAGCTCCCCAAATACCGTTAGAACATCTATCAGGAGACTTGCAGTATAAAAGGACTTTATCATGTTTCTGCAAAAAAGAAAGCATTTTGCTAACCTGGTAACGTCAGTCTCTCAGAATCACATTTTAGGACTTGTAATCTTAGACCATACTGGCTTTTTTCAAGCCAAACATCGGGGTTTTTTTTCTTTTAATCTGATGTTATAGAAGCTGATTCCCAACATTTAAATCCAACACTATTGATTAGTCTCCTAACTACTATTCAGAAAATGTTCAGTATTTTTTGTGTAGGACATCAGAAATCCTGTGTTAACTTAGAAAAATACATTAAGATGCCATAGTAACTGCTGTAAACCAAATCACATAATGGATCATCACGACTATTTTACTATCACTGATCAATAGAAACCATAACATGCTTGATAAAATAAAGCACAGTATTAGCCTGTGGTTTTAGAAGGCTTGCCAGTAGGTTAAGCAACTCCCTAAGGAACACAAGGAGGAGGATACCAGTTAATGTGTGAAGTGAAACCTAAAAGTAGTAGCAAATTGAGTTTTTCAGAAGAGAAAAGAATGTATTAAAGCCCAATTCTTGTTTCCAGTGAAATTAAAGAGCATTTGGATATTCACATTCCCTGACCAGTATCTTAATTCAGATAAGAAAAACAAAGATTTGCACCTACTTATGAAATTGCCCAGCTCTGTCTTCATTATCTGCATACAAAAACATTTTCAAGGCGTAATTCTCCACATGAGCAGAACCAACAATTTCCTGAGTAATTGCTTCATTATCACCAAATTGCTTTTTCATCTGAAAAATATTGGAAAAATACATTAATTACTTTATTAGACCTTAGCAATTCTGCAAACACAAAAAGAACCTGCTGATTAAAACAAAGTCAAGTACAATTTAAAAAGAAACAACTTAAGCTACATTTTACAATTCTGCAGTTTCAAACATAACAAATGCTAAAAGCAGCAGGTGAAAGAGAAAGCACATTCATCTGGAGAGAAACACTACAAAAATAAGTAGCTCTGAATCTTCGGTCACAAAATGCTTATAAAAACCACCAACACAGCAACATCCTCTCCCCCAAAGTTAAACACAACTACAGTGCTGTGAAAGAACAGCAATAGATATTTTTCCCCTTAGTATCTGAAAGACCTGGCACTCTGAAGCCTGTGTCAGGATTCAACACAGTTCAGCTGGTGAAATAATGCATGCTTTATAAAGGTGCTGTAGATCAGAGGGATCGATCATGTATCTTCCCTCTTGTAAGGTTATTTCACTGCAGTTCATTACATCTTTCCAAGTCTTTGAGCCCTACCTTGACCAGTCTAGAGACCTATGGATTTACTGGAATTTTCAGTGTAAGCAGCGTATTTCAATTCAAAGAACTCTTTTCAAAGATGTTAAGAGTGCAAGAATCCTCAGGTTTCCTAATAAAAATCAGCAAAGCAAACAACCCTGTAACAGTTACAACAGGTGGATTTACAGCTTCTGAATAGGCTTACTGTTTGCACATAAGGAAATCTCAGGTTATCCTTAGAGAACAAAAACAGGAACACTGCATGATACTAACCTGCAGCCTTTATTTTGCCAAAAGATTTAAAAACAATCTCTGAATGGCAGTTATTTTTCACTGTGCGTGCGAAGAAAATTTAATCATGCAGGCAGCATTTCCATATTTTTTATATTGCTGCCAACTTTCTAAGACATAGAATGTTGCCAGAAAAGTTACTGGATTTCAGTAGTTCAATATAAGCTTTCCAAATAGAATTTTAAATTTGAAGTTTAAACCTAAGTTTTTTCTATATGTGGTTTTCAAAAAGTAATTGTTCTACGAAGTGTAATTTTCTTGTGAAAGTACCAAAATTAGCGTGTTCAAACGAAACAGCCAAACACTGAAGCTAACTCAGGAAGAAAACTGTTTGTATACATATATTTCCTTAACCAATCTGCACACCTCACACTCAGAGAAGAACTGATTACTGCACTTGATTTGATTCTCAATTATTTCAAACACACAACTAACACTGTTACATACACTGCTAAAAGTATTAAAGGTAACCAAGTTGTTTACTGCTGAAATTATCCTTTACACCATTTTACACTACCTGTGATTCAATACAGCAGTATTGGTGTTTCAAACGTTAATACAAAATCTCAACCTAAACCTCAAGGCATTTAGGTTTAATCTTAAAAAAAAATTAAACTGCACCCCTCTACGCCCCCTGGTGGTCACGGGCAGATGGAAACAGTAAATCCTAAATGACAGCAGGGGTCCAACTTTTCCATAAACACAAACTTCTAAGCCCCAAAACTGCTCTATTAGACTTGACTAGGAGCGCTCTCTTCATCCTTCCACCACCCGGATACATAGAAGAATCTTCAGTATTGTGCATCAGTTGTCACACCCCTATTAAAGGTGTCAAATTCCAATGAAATAATACACCAAGAAATCACTGTACACTGAATTTTCCATTGCAAAAAAACAGTGATAAAAAAAGCAAGAAGCACAAGTTATGAAAAAAAAAAAAAGACAAATGGTTCATGTTACATTTATTTTCTGAAGAATCACAAAATGGTTTGCATTGGAAAGGACCTTAATGGTCATCTAGTTCCAACTCCCCTGCTGTAAGCAGGGATGATGTTCACTAGAAGAGGTTCAGGACTATACAATCTGGCCTTGAATACTTCTGTGGGTGAGCCATCCATCTTTCATAACTGAAGGCTGCTGTACTAGTTTCACACAAGCTCTTCAGGCATTGCTAGACTTTGGATGGAATTACCAATACTGAACAAGAAAAGAACTGCTGATAAATCTTTCAACATTGCTTTCTGCTTCCAAATGAGCACTTAGACCTTAGAATCAAAAAACTTCTTCCTTTGAGAATTTTGAAAACTACAGGATATGAACATAAACAGCTCCTGGAACTTAAACTCACCATCTGTACCACAACTTTACCTTTCTTAGTTTAACTCTCTTTTATTTAAAGCTTTTTAACAGTATCAGGTCCTTTCAGACCAGCGTGGCATAGCTATCCCTTACCCACAGAGATTAGGCTGTGCTTACTAGAGTTTATAAAATAAAATCTCTAATCTTAAAGACAGGATTCAATCAGAAGTATCTTTATCTTTTACAGAATGTTTTAAATAACTCCCTGGATACAACAATTTAGGTTAGATATTTCAAAAGCATCCAAGGACTAGGCTATTAAGTCCTACAGCAGTAAAAATAAATGTACAGACTTCAAGGAATCAAAGGCAAATCCATTAAAAGTCTTCTAGAACACTCATGTTAACTTCATAATGAATTATGATTTTCCATGAGAACATGCATAAATAAAACACTGTAATTTATGCTGTCTACACAACTCTTATTTCTAAATTTCAATTATGTTTGTACATGCATACATATATACAGCTTTATCTCCTTCCAATCCTTCTGCAATTTATTACACACAACTGAAGTTCATGCAGTATGCTTGCATGCAGAACAGCTGCAGAGAAGAGACAGTATTTCCAGAAATTTAAATAAAATTAAATTAATATAATCATAATTTTTGAAGAAAGCAATAATTTCTACTTACAGCTTCCAACTGATCCATAAGTTTGGATAAAAATTTACGGCACTCTGGGGTTTTACTATCAATCTTCATCCCTGTCTGCATTGCATACAAACGACCTTGAAATGATACAAAACACACAAAAAACACTAAGTGATAACCTAAGGCAAAACCCATAAGCAAAGCAAAGCCCCCCAACACACCTGAAAGACAGCTCATGATTTAACCACACACTGACTCCAGTACTACTGAGCAGTGACAGCAAAATGTAAGGTTTGGTCTTGCAGAGATACTAGGAGTTATTTTTGGGAGATTTATGTTTTATTTTTCCTCCATGACTATTCCTTTTAATTTTAAACTGATTTTAACTATTAGCAATATAAGTGCTTTTATAAATTACCACCACCCTCACTTGCAACTCACCCAAACAGGAACTTCAAATTGATTTGGAAGAGTGCATGGATATAAATGGAACTGCACGTGGCAGGAGGCAGTTAAAACACTTGAACAAATGGTATTAAGCACCTACTATATCCATGTACAGGCATACACAGCATCAAAATACTAAAGACAAAAAATTTATCTTTAAACCAGACAATCCAGACTTTATCAAACTTCCCCTGCAAGCAGAGTTGCCAGTTTTTAATAAGATCTTGAAAATGAATGATTAGTATCTTCTGATTAAAGATTAATTTTTTACTACCAAAAATCTGTGAGTTGTAGATTTGCAAATGGCAGAACTTTATAGGCTTCACGAAACTGTGGACAAACCCAAGCAAGTATTATTTACTAGGATTAACACATACCAAGAAGGGAAAATAGACAGAAACATTCAGTAATCAAATGTAGAACATTTTCCACAAAAAAAACATTCCTCTAACTCTCACTTCTGACTCCCTCTCAAGGGAGTCCTACAAAACACTTTCAAATGCAGAATTTAAGAATCAAAAGGTCTAACTCCACCAAATATTATCATGAGGTAGTTATTATGGAATAAATAATGTCTTTCTTCTTGCAGGACAGAGTTCTACAAGCAGTCCTAATGTTCTTCACAGCTTTAGCTTGTTCCTCCCAAGCATCTCTTCATACACTAGAGACTCTTTTCCCTTCAAATTACCTCATTAAACATGAATATAACACAATTGTTATCATGCACTTATCCTGATGCTTGATGCAGAAGAAAACACTACATATGCTCAAAAGCTTCTCTGCATTTTCCATCTATTAGCAATTTATCTAATAAAATAAAATATCTTTCTACAAAACTTTGATTCTGCTGGTGAGCACCACAATTTAACCAATTTTTTCTGGATTTTTAAAGTAGTATTTCCTATTTCATATACAACTGAGTGTACCAGACTAAGCATACATTCCTTATTTGGGACTGCAAAGCTCACTTATTTTTGAATGGTAAAGATGCTGGGTTGACCAACCATTTAAAAATACTCTCCCTGAAAAATAAAATACTTCTGCTCTCCAATGCCTCTGTTTTTACAATGTATAGAAGGATCTAGAATCTTCATATTCAAGTTTTAAGTAAAGAACAACCAAGTGAAAGTCCTTAACAAAACTAAAGGAATTAAATTAATAAAGACTAAGAACAATTACAACACTTGACCAATACAAATGAAAGAATTGCTATGTAGGTTTCATCAAATGACATTACTATTAAGCTAATTAAGGATAGGTACTCTTAAGCCCACCTAATTTATCTTCAGGATGCTGACACGTTAATGTTAGACATTACAAAACTAGTACATGCAAAGTTGAAATTAGATTTCAAAGAAATTCAAACACAGAAACGTACAAAGAATTGTATCTAAGGCATTAAAATTAATATGAAAAGCAATCATCAATTAAAATACCATCATCACATGACAAGGAGCCAATTTGAAGTCTTCAATTAAATTGATTTTTAAGTACATACTTGATTGTAAGCTCCCCCCATCCATTTCACAGTATAATTTAACAGTATAAAATGTAAGAATAAACGTAAGTTTGCTAAACCTATGAGCCATTTAGATCAGTTATTTCTTTTTGATAGATGACAAGATCAGATATTTTCAGAGGCAAAGAAATTAATTTTAGACTGATATGCATTAGGGTGACAAATCCAAGATACAGTTGATCATTATGGGATACAGATTTAGCTTACTTGCTGAAGTATGCATCTTCAGATCTTGTCCATAACTCATATACATAAAAAGAACTCTGTTTCTGTATAAATGGATCTTGCAAATGTCTTTAGCCTTGATCAGTTGAAAAATGAAAAGATCTTCTACGTTGTAACTGTTACTCTCGTGTTACCTATTAAGAGGATCTTTTCATTCTCATTGCAAATACATCCATTTAAATCATGAAAGCCAGATAATTTTTTTCTTCACTAATATCCAAAGGGATGTATTCACAGGACTGAGACATTTGTATGCTTTGTATAAAGCCCTAAAAAACCAGCCCTTTCCCCTCTTAGGATTTCAGAGCCTTAGGAAGACTTTAAGACTCCTTCAGGCATTCCAGTGGACAAATGCAGAGTAACTCTTGAACACACAGAAATCACCTCAGAGAACAACAGTTACAGAAACAAAATGTTTTGTCTATATATAACTTTACACTGTGGGTGACATCGAGCAATCTTCCACATGAACACCTTCCTTCTAACAAAAGGTTCTAGGACCAAAGTAGCCAAGGTTCCTAGGTTGTTAAAAATCAAAGTACTATTATTCAAAGCACAGATTGTCAAGAAAGCGTGAAGGTGCTCTTGCAGCAGCAGCAGCTCTAAAATACTAGGAACTGCAACATCCTAGAGCCAAACTATTCATGTCACCTGAGTGAAGAATAAATGTGTTCCACCTGTTGCAGCAATTATATCTCTGTACCACAAAACTGACCAGTTACTACATGCAGCCACCAAGTCCCAATTTGCATCACTGCCCATAGAAATCATTAAAATTTCCTAAAAGATCTTATTAACTAGAAAAAGGTCAAAGCACACTTAAGTTACCCTAGCAGGAGAGTCTACTGTGATCTTTAAAAGCTTTTGAAGCCTGCAATTTTTGCATACTCTCTTCTTCACATACATTTAGGTGTTTGAGAGGAGACAAGCCTCTGACGAGGCAGTTCAGATAAAGGCAAAAGCTATGCCTTTTTTCTCAAGTAAGTGGTGATCTAGAGAAAGCATGATGTCTGTGAAAACAACTATTGACAGAGCATCACTACCTAGTAGCATTCAGTGCCAAAAGGTAGTCTTGGCTCAGATACTGTTGATAAAACACTGATAAAACCCAACTGTAATGAAAAATGAGGCAACCTTCAGGTCAGGAAGTGCAAACCAGACATTACCAGTCAAAATCTCCACAAACATCAGTTTCAGTTGATAAACTGAAGAAACAGAAGAAAAGTACACTCTATCAGTCTGAATCTCACCAGTAACACACAGAATGTTGTTTAGTATATTTAGGTATACCTACTGCTTTGATCAGTGCTGCTCTAGTCAAAAGTAGAGCTTTGGGATTGAAAACTTCCATCAATAAACTTACCAAGCAAACAGAAGTTGAAATAGTTGAAAAACTGAAAGAGCTAGAGATTTCTAGGGAAAGAAACAATATAGGAAGAGGAGGAAATAATTTGGCATTTAACTTTATATACAATACTGAAATAAATGTAATAAAATTTTCATGTTTTAAAATTTTGCTTTTGAAATAATCTGGATGAAGCAATATGGGAGTGCATCTGAAAGCTGCAAGCAGTCTTTTGCCTTACTGCTGCCAACAAGAAAAAGTATATAATAGTTCTACTTTTACCATTTTTGAGTATTACTGTAAGGGAAAAAAAAAATTATTTCCAAATGCAAGTTCTTCCACATCTGTGTCTTCTGTTATCCTCTGTTCTCTAATTTTTAAATGTCCCAAGTATTCTACAAGAAGGCTATCTGTAAGACTGTGCTGATTTTGATACTACTACCTCTGCCATTTAAGGTGTTCTCTTGTATATCTTTTGTGTGTGCTTGATCACGCAAGTATTACTTATTATAAAGATCCATGATTGTGACTGAAAAGCATGTTTTCACCTAGTGAAGGAAATCTATTAATGTCCTTTTCCTGCCAAACTTGAAGCAAACGGGCAAATGCACTTCAAGACTAAATTTTCAGCAGCAAGAGCAAAACATACCTATCCTGTGTTAATATCAGTCAAATTTTAAACTGGCAATTAATGGTCAAAGAACTGTCCTCCATGTTTATGTTGACATAGAGGTTTTTGTTTATGTTGGTAATTTCAGTAGCAAATAACTCATAAGCAAGAAGACAAAAGTTTATTGCCTCCTACATCCCTGTTAAGACAGTCAACAATGACATGAGTTCAGTTGCCCCCTTCTCCCACATTTAAAAGAAAACAAATTATTTACATTCCATTAAATACAGCTGTTCTGGTTTCTGTAATACTGCAAAAGCAACAGACAGTATTATTACTATGCCCGCTAAGTCACAAAAGTTATGCTTTAATGGAAGGTGTTCAATTTCTAGTAAGTGGTAAGGAATCTCCTGAACAGTATAGACGCCACAAAAAAAATCCTCATAGTGTTACATGTTACAAATGCATTATTTTACCTTATAGAATACCATACTTGAAAGACCATTTTACATCAAAATAATTTGGTTTTCTCTTCAGAACTTCTCTACACATTGAACAAAATGTTTAAAGTGCATGTCCCTAATGACCAGTGACACACTGTTAAACCTAAAGAGCTCGACTTAGAGGAGGTATTTGTTTAGGAACTTCTGATAAAAAATAAATCCTCTGTGAACAGCCAAGCTTCTGAACATGTTGATGTAAAAGACATCCACTGTCATACACTGTAGCTACAAAAATTTTTAAGTTTTAAAACCTAAATGTATATGAAGAATGGATACAATCTTTGAATTAAGTGACCTGTACTTCTTACCTCTCTTCACTACTTACGATTAAGATCTGGAATATCTGGAAACAAACAGGTGAATGAAATTATTCCTCCTTTTTGTTTTATGCATTCAGTTTTATAATAGATACAACTATTTTTTGCCCCCCTCTATTCAAACCAAGTAGCAAAAAATACTTTTATGTGGCCAACAAAGTAGTATACTAT